TATTTCTATTTTTCTTTTTATTCTCTATTTTCTTCTCTTTCTTATCTCTATTCTTTCCATTATTTTTATTCGTTTTTTCTCTCATTATTTTTTTTACTTCTCTCATTTTACTCTATCTCTCTCCATCTCTCTTTCTCTCTCTATCTCTCTCATTTTTATTATCTCTAATCGCTGGTTTAATTCTAATACGATAGGTCTTCCTTTCTAGATTAAAAAAATCTATTTTTATCAGTTTAATATGTTTTTCTAGATTCGAAATTTGTCTGTCTCGTCTCATTTCCCATTTTATTTCTTATTTCTTTGAGTGATTTTTCTTTGACTGGTGAATTTCTCACCTACCATTCTGGCACCGCATAAATCAAGTCATTCTCTGGTGTCAATTTCCATATTTATATCAATGTATTGAGTCTCTCATCTTCAGATTTCCATTTTTACAGCCTTTTCTTCCAAGAGATGGTAGTTGCTTTCTGTATCATCTTTATTTACTTCTTTATGTATCTTTCGTATTCATTTAATTCTACTCCATGTTTTCTTGTTTTATTCTTGAATCCACTCCGAATAGTTCTCACAGGTTGTTTGTTTTTTTTATTTCTCTTATAAACCTCTTTTTTTTGGGGAAATTTCGTGATTTATTTCAGGTATTCTAGTTCTTCTAAGATATTCTTTATGAAGTTTGATTGGTAGATCCTTTTTTTGAAATTTCATTTACCTAAGCCTCTGTCTATTCTGCGTCTTTCTTGTTGTCGGCTCTTTTATCATATTTTAACACTGTTTTCTATAGACCTTAATGGACGTTTGACTTTTAATGTAGCAACATATAAACTAATTTATTGTCACTTTTCTTCCATTTATCAATTTACATTTTTTTTCTTTTGCCTGGCTAGCAATCAGTGAACGGAGATCGGGTCATTCCAGTTCATCCTCAATGAAAAACCTTCTGGGTATAACAATTATGATGTATTTGTTTTTTTATAAATACTTATGTAGTGTTTTTGCAATAAACTCCTGCTTTTTGAGTCAGCCATACGGAGGGGAAGATATAACGGCTATTTAATACCTATTACCTCATTCATCATTCAGTTAATGAATAATTGCGGGAGTGTACATGCCCACCCACAACTTCATTACAAGATTTTACTGTCATGCAGATCGTTTCTTTTTTAAAATGAACTGATATATTTTAATTTTTTTCCTAATTTTTAAAAAACAATCAGTACCAAGTGTCGCAAAACTAAACATCACCTGGAGAGACAAGAACATCTGCTATAAATCAAAGATCAGATGTTGCGTGCATTGGCCATCTCATTCTGTACATCTGCGAATCTTGGACATTAACAGCGAATCAGACAAGTATTATAAATGAGATGCTGAAGAACTATCCTAGGTATCTACGTGTAAAGAATAAAAGAATGACGCTGAGTGAGACACCATCAGACAGGAAGCACGCCTGTTGAAAGATCTGATACCCACTGTCAAACAAAGAAAGTTGAAATGGCATGGACACGTCATAAGAACCAAGAATCTTTTCTCTGTCATCCTACAATATTCCACATTAGGCAAAAGAAGAAAAGGTTGATATAGAAAAGAATTGGACTGACAGTGTCATTGATTGAACTGGAGGATCATTTATAGAGATTCAAAACATTGGCACACAACCGAGACATATGAATAGAGTTGGTCAATTGCTCAGCTACGCAGTGACCCTTCAACCACAATCGGTCATGGCAACAATGATGATGATGATGATGATGATGATGATGATGATGATGATGAATTATTTTTAAGTACACCAAGGAATCTACAATCGTTAAAAAAAAGATATGAAAATGTACCATCGATCAAAAATATTTTCTGTGTTCACATAAGAATTAATTATTTTTATTCTATTTCTAAATATACATATAAGGTTCTCTTAGATGTTCTATCGTCTCACTCTTCCTTGAACTGACTGTGCCATTCAAAAACATTCGTTTTCCACATGGGAAATCTAAGCTATTTTTAATAGAAGTAAAGTTTTACTACAAGTTCACACAAAAATTGATTTTAATTCGCTGATTCAGGTTTCTTTCACTCATTTTCTGTCAGCAGCATAACATGAACATATACACATTCCTCTACTGCTCAGCAACGAATGGCGCAACTCACCTGCATCTTAAGAAAGCGGAAATTGGGACATGTTCGGACGTGCTCAGGTTCAAAGATTTGCCTAATCCCAATGATATGCTGCGATTATTCCCGGAATTAAATTTTTACTTCTCGCAGTTGCCTTTGAAATAAAATGCTCCTCAAATATATACTATATTTCAACATTATAAAACAATTATATTTTAAATAATTACGAAAATATTTTTAAAATGAACCATCCTAGCTTTAACTTGGATGAATTCAGTCCTTCTTCGACAATCCGTAAAAGTAAATATTTTTTATAGAGATTCCTATGTGTTAAGCATGCTAACCTCTGTGTATGGAAACTCAAAGTGTTTACTTTGACTTTGGCTCGGATCTATTTTTCGGTTTCGCCATAAACCTTTGCAATACAGATGCAGGGATATTCAAGCTAATGTCTGAATTCAGCGACAACGATTGTAAAATATATAATCGTATTAGATATTAGTATGTTAGACAGACTATATGCAATATATAAAAGAAAGCATTTTTGTGTGTATTTTTATTGATTTAAAAGTTATAAGTTCTTGCATCCGTCTATTGATACAAGTAAACCAGCATTACAATGATTTACATTTTAAGTAATAAGTCATTTACACAAAAATGTATCTAGTTTCTATAACGTTGAGAAGAACAATAATTATTATAAATTTTGTTACGACAATTGAAAATAGTCTTCGTGTTCTTCCTATTGTTATCACAGCCTTTATTTTGATCTTCTCATCAGACTTCATTAGGTGTGAATTCTGTAAAAAAAAAAACAGAAAAAAACTGACTCCTTCAGAAAATTCCTCCGTGTTACCGATGTAAGAAGAAAATTTCAATCAGAAAGCATATTTCCAAGAACTGTTACTATGTGGAACAGACTCCCACATGAGTGTTTCCCTAAACTCTGTAATGTTGACTCTTTCAATTCAAGGGTCAACCTTTATCTATTCTCCCTAGTCTCATAACCTTCACTTCCTTCCACTCATATTTTACACTCCATCATCATTATCGCTTCAACTGCAACACTTTCGAACTTTGTATTGAGTGAAAAACAGAAAAATTCTGAAATAATATTATTATTATTATTATTATTATTATTATTATTATTTATTTTCATGCCAGCAATATCACCAGGAATCGAGAGACATCATGTCTTCTCAAATGATTACTATTCTCTTCAGTTTCCTTGCTGGTAGTGCTGCAATCAGATTACCTTATTTTTCTAGAATATTCAAGCCTATCACACTTGATCTGAGTGGGCCAAAATATATGATTGTCATTTTCAAAAGTGCGCAACTTCTAAATAAAGAGTCATTCTTTTCTTCAGTTTCGACCTATGTTCCGCTCGAACAGCTCTACTCAATTTTTTGATTTCCTCTTTTGCTATTCGGTGGATTTGAATACTGGATCAGATTAGAGGGATACATCTGCATATCAAAAATACAAAGAATCTTTTAACTGTCACAAGAATCTTTTAAATTTTTATTATTATTATTGAGTGAGAGAGAAGTATTCCAGCAAAGTCATGCTTAGGTGTAAATATGCGAAGCCCCATGTGCCCAGCATGATAACCATTCTGATAAAGGGTATACAAATCACATGAATCACAGCTAAATATGCGCAATATGCGGAGAAGTTTTTGTTTTTATAAAAGCAGCGCATAACCTTGTAGGTGTAGCCCTGTTAGAAATACCAAATAGCCCAGTACGTTCAAACGGTTTCCGATTGAAGGTTTTCACAAATATATGGATACAACTTTCAAGTCACCATAGCTACTTCATCATACAAATTAAAAAAAACCCTCTTGACAACCGGCCATAATACTTCCTCACTATTCCCACTCATGAACATGGATGCACAGTGCAACAGCATCTAGTGGACATGATCAACTGTTTATGGTTAGACAACTGACAAGCATATCTGTAGTACTGAACAGGATATATACTTTAGCCCACATTATTTTTCCTGTTGCAGTTGTGTTTTATTAATAGTCTTATCAACAGATAGCATAAAATTCCTTTAAACTTCTATGCCGAGATAAATAAAATAGTTTTTTTTTTTTTATTTGAACTGTTTGATCAAATTCTCCAGGTGGATAATAATAACTACAAAAAGCGATGTAATAGGAACCTTGAGGATGTATGTTCTTTAAAGTGATCTGGTTTATATTGGCTTTCATAAGTAATGTCTAGAAAAATCATAACAAAGGTGTTTACTTCAAATGGTCATTACGTTGTTGCCTATAAATCAGTTTATGCTTTAAGTGTCGCGTATCAAAGACATTAAAATAAATAGAGAACAATAAAAGAAAATTGAGAGGAAAGTACAAAATCTAATTGAAAAGATTGTTGTCACTTTTCATCGTTAGTAACGAATGCCAAATACTTATCAGGTGAAGACACCAATTCTTTAAATATTAAGAACCGATGAAAAGATTTCTTCTTTTTATTGATCCAGGTGATGCCAAATATTCTTTGACATTATTTTTCTTTAAATATATTCTCTTTTCAAAGTCGTAAACTCATTCATATTGTTTCAGACTTCTATTTGTTCTCACAAAAAAATGAACTTTCTCGCGGATGGTCATGGTTCGATTCTTCCATTTTTTTCTCTTTTTTGCTGACATACTAAGAGTTGAACTACTGTTATTAAGTATTCTTTAAGAGACTTGGTCTTTTACAATTGTTTATTATGTCTAATCATCTGACTCTATATGGGAGATCTTTCTTTTTTCATAAAATCCCAGATTAACCTCATTTTGACGTCTGATAAAAGAAATTCTGTTGTCTATTCATATTGTTATTATTGTACATTATGTGCAATTATATACTTCATATTCAATTGTTTTAAGGAAGAGGTTTCGAAAGCAGATAGATAGATAGATAGATAGATAGATAGATAGATAGATAGATAGATAGATAGATAGATAGATAGATAGATAGATATTTCCGTAAAGGGAATACTTTTTTAAATTTGTTTTGGTAGTTTTTCACTTCAGTTAAGGATTTCTTAATTGTAATTTTGTTAATTAGAATTTTTGTTTTATTTTCGGAATTTCTTTTTAGTTATTTATTTCGCATTTTTAAGATCATGATTTGAATTTTACTTCATCTCTTAGGTGTGGTATATTTGACGTCTTCTTTTTCTTGTTTCGCTATGTAGATCTATTGAAAGTTATCTTAATTAGATCGTGTTATTTCATCAGTATCTGTAGTCACACTATAACGCAGTTAATAAAAACAAAATAACGTATACATCTGCATATATGTTGCTGTTACTTTTAGCATATAAGTTACGTATTTTTCCAGTTGCTTTGAAGAATTCTCAACGCAGCATGAAGCTCTATCACTCACATGATAAATGGAATTGCAATGAATAATTTTTCCTGATTTCTTAATTACTGTTTATTCTATTTCAATATGCAGAGCAACAACGAACCTTAGGCAGTAGTGCTTTGTGCATTTTACAGTTTTTTTTTAGTCCTGACTAAACAATCGAATTCATATTGGTGAAAACGCCATCCTCACAAATTGTAGCAGAGAATGCATCCGTTCAATTCTTCATTTTAATTATTCATGAAAATAATAGAATACTAATGTTTTTATCTGTTAATTATATTCATCTCAGCAGTGTAATATTTTTCCGAATCATTGACAATGCAAAACTCCATTTCAGAACTAATATTCTTATTGTTTTTATTATAGTACGTGATTGACCTCAAATAGACTTTATACAGAGTATCCTGTAGAGAAGTTAAGTGTAGTGTTGGTCTAAGGGACAACCTCCTAGCCGGTGAGAAGATCCCATGATTCACCCGATGTCAGTAGCGATTCCTACAGAATCAAGTCATCGGTTGTGCTTAACATAATCACTCGTGGGGAAAAACATATGACAGACAGTCCTGCCCCAAAGAAGGGTCTCTCTTTCTCTCTCTTTCACCTCTCTCTCTCTCACTCTCTCTCTCTCTCTCTCTCTCTCTCTCTCTCTGAATTACCTAGTTAAAGAATGCACAAGTTTTCTACAATAATAAAGAAATAATATCGAAAAAAAATTCAAAAACTAATGAGATAACAGATATAGTTTCGTAGACGTACGAATGAAAAGTGTGCATTCTTTAAATAGGTAATTCAAAGCATACTCTCTCACTCTCTATCTATCTATCTATCTATCTATCTATCTCTCCATATATATATATATATATATATATATGTGTGTGTGTGTGTGTGTGTGTGTGTGTGTGTGTGTGTGTGTGTGTGTGTGTGTGTGTGTGTGTGTGTGTGTGTGTGTGTGAAAAGTGTATATAAATATAAATAAATATATATATGTATAATTATTTATATATGGTACTTATTAGAAAGCGCTCAATATCAGAGATAGAGCTAACATATTTGGTTGGATAGATCTATCCAACAAAATATATATATATATATATATATATATATATATATATATATATATATATATATATATAGGTGATTTTAGCTTGTTTATCTCTCATTTTTTTAGCTGTTATTTAAATATCTTTCGACCTAGGAAGCTGCAGATATATCAATTACTTTTCATGTAAGCATTTGATGGGTCTTTTATTTACTTCTGAATTAGTTCGGTATTATCCCTATGAAAAGACATTTTTTTATCCTACAAACTAAATTTCACACACTATGCCTTCCCCTTACGGAGTGAAAATGATCTGCCTATCTATATTTCTTATAATTTCTTTTCATTTTCTTCTTTTTAATGTTCTCTTTTTTGTTCGTTTATTCATTTCCCAATTTTCTCCTTCTTATTGATGACATTTCTTTTTCTTTTCTTTCCTACATTTGGAAGACATTTTGTTAATACTTTCTACATTTTTAAATTAGCAATCATTTGAAAAGCAAAGATATAGTTCCACATTCTTTCTGTCATAAGTATAATTGTTGGGGCTATTTTTATAAATAAATTCTCTGCAACTATTTACATAATTAAGAATACACATGCCATCACTTTTATTAATATGACTCAGCCACAAAGCGCTGCGAAACATAATAATAAATTAAATGACTGATGCTTTTTATCAGATAAATCGCTACGGGCACTTCTCCTGATAAAATGTAGACTAAAAAGAAAAAAAAACTATTTGCTAAGATATTTCCCTTTTGCGTTTTTATACATTTAATTTCTTCGTCAACCACACGAAAAAAGAGAGCCCTATTGGCCGAGTAGCTATAACGCTCGTTTTCCGACAATAATATCGGGGTTCGGATTTGTCAAGATGACTTCTTGATAGTATGAGCCAGAAGAAAGTATCCCAATATGCGTCACCGTTGGGAAGTGTTTTACAAACACAGCTCACACAAAGTCACAAGTCACTGTAACCAAGCGTTTGAGCGTAGTAGCTTTGTTCAAGGACTTACCACAATAGATTGTAACTCTATTCCAGAAACCGCGAGTTCGCTCAGTATAGTTGCAATATAAATCCCATGTTGGTTCTGTTGGTTGTGAAAAGGTGCATTATCAGGGTTTTTTTTTCCAACAGAGATTAGCTAACGCCTCTAACTGAGGAGTATTCTCTGAAACAAGCAAACTGTCATTATTATACAGACTCTTTAAAAAGAACTGATATCATTTGATATGTAAATAACTGAGTAACTGCATAGTCTAAAGCAAATGAACCTAAACAGGCAAAATAAGATTTCTTCATTAAAATTTGAATGAGAATGTATTATGAGGGTCTTTATAAGTTTTCAATATGCACACTGCCTTAACATTGCACACGTCAATTCAGCTTGTAGGGTGTCATTAGCGAGCCATTTCTTTCGTTCGAGGAATCTGTTTCCAGATTTGTTCTTCTTATGGACTACTTGGGGGTTCGAAAAAATATTTCCTGGACCCGCTCGACCATATCTTCCGATGATGGCGGTTGTCCAGATCCTTTTTGCTGTCAGCTAACCTTCCTCTTTAAATATGTTGTATCATGTCCAAACCTCCATAGCGTTTCGTGCATTTTTAGAGAATTCTCTTTCAAATGCACGCTACACAGTCTTCCTCAACTGTGTTCAAGCATACTCTAACATACAAAATGACTTTTCCTTTCCAGTGAATGGCATTTCTATATCTTCTTTTCCGTACAATTATGGTCACCCTGTACAAGGCCCAAGGGCCACTTGAGGTAGAGGGTTACAGAGTAAGAGGCACAGTTCATAAGTATATGTAGAGAATACTTGAACACGTTAAAATTGTAATGATCGAGAAAGCACCCGGAAGATAAAAAAATTAAACATACAATTTTGAGGTTTTTTTTTACACATGCTGTTAAAATTTGAGACCATTTCAATGAAAATTGGTCAAGTTATTAGATTACGAAAAAAATAACAACATTTTGAAACACCTTGTATATAATATAGTGAATATAGTAGTTACATCTACATCAAATTTACGCATGTACCTAGAGCCACATGTAAAAACAAAAACATACGAATAACCTTAACTACGAATGAGGTCTGGAATGTTCTCAAAAACTACCCAAAATCAGAATTTCAATTACCAAATATGAGGACACACTTATTTTAAGAATCGGCTCTGACCAAAACATTTTCAGCACCCACTCATATTCTTTTTTAAAAATAGTAACGAATTTAGTAATCGTCAAATTTTCATGCAGAGAGTGACATGTAAAAAAATTGATAACATCTACATAAACTACGATAAATAATATCATCTCGCATAACGATGTCTTTTAATGTAAGCCAAGTATTGGGAATTTCATTCTAGGTTTCGAAAATAAGATAAGAAAAAATAGCACTCATTCTAACGAGTCAAAAACAAAGATAACAAGAGTGAAAAATCTAATGACAAGATCTTTGAGATGACAACGGCGCTCCTTCCTAACATGAGATTGATGTTATTTTTATAAAGCATGTGAATGTTTGAAATTCACTTTTTATCTAAGATTCCAAGATTTATTCCCCTTTGCCTACAGGATGTCTTCATTGCTTTTATTTTTATCGTATATCTTTTATGTCAAACTTGGAAATGGAATCGACGAGACGCTCGCCTCAGGCCTTCAATAATATATTTATTCATCGTATATTTTTCTTTTTCTTTCCAGCATTACTCTATATTCAGTAAATGGAAAAAATTAATTTGATATTTTTCATGTATAAGATAAATGTTATATTAGATATTAATGCTAATATGAAAAATACAATATACCTGTATATATATCTGTATAAATGTATATATATATATATATATATATATATATATATATAGAGAGAGAGAGAGAGAGAGAGAGAGAGATAGATAGATAGATAGATAGATAGATAGATAGATAGATAGATAGATAGATAGATAGATATAAAACACGCTTTCTCCCAGAAACTGTAACTAAGGCCTGCTCAGCATAGTTGCAGTATAAACCAGGTGGGATCTGTGGTTGTTGAGCCAACACAAATGTTACTGAGCGAGCATCTGCAATAGGGATTGACTAACCGCCCTAGTAGACGAGTACCCTCAAATGCAAGTGGTCAGCTATTATATATATATATATATATATATGTGTGTGTGTGTGTGTGTGTGTGCGTGTGTGCGTGTGCGTGTGTGTAGTCATATATTGTAACAAATCTGATATAAGTATATATATATATGTGTGTGTGTGTTTGTGTATTGCCCCTGTTTTCAAATTTCTTTTTTCTAGTTCTATGATCTATCTTCAACGTTTTCACCATGTTGTGTTCCCTTTCATTCAATAACTTTACAATATTCTTTCTCTTTTTGTGGATGTTATACCTTTTGTACGACTGATAACAATATTTTTATACCTGTATTTTTTTAAAATATAAGTATCTGTACTATTATTTCTATTTATTTACAATATTCTAAACAATTCTCATTTTGCATAAAATAATCAGAAATCAGCAAATAATTTATTCCTAATATTTCTAATAGAAACTAACATCAGAAGCTGAAATTCCCATGGCATATTCCTCAGATGATGTTAATTTTCCCAAGATCAGTTGTTTAATACCAACCTTTTCAAAAAGCATTGAATCGTATACCCTTTTGTGCCTACTAGAAGGGTGGGTATTTATTTATTCATTTATTCATTTTCTTAAGAATGTTTCGAACCCTCGAGTTTATTAAGGTCATCATCAATTTTGTTCTGTTGAACCTTTAAATGATTTTCCTACTCACCTTTTTATTTGAAGAAGAAAAAACTATTTATTACATTCCAACCCCAACTCCAATTATTAAGACCCCTCATGTATTCAGCACCTAACAGTAATAAAATTCCACACCGTGTACCAAGGAATAGATCAGATACTGTAACATTCTGCAACATTACTTGAATTAAATATTTTTCTTAAATATTATCAAAGAAGCTCAAATAATAGAACTTTTTAATTATGAATGTTGATATTTTCCTCAGATAATACCATTAAAAGATACTTCGGCGACATTTAATGTGAGACAGAACTTTATCTTCGTTTCCAATCTAATATTCGAATCCCGCAAGCAATTCTTCTGAGATAAAATCTATAAAAATATTTGCTCTAATCTGAGTACCAATTTCGGACTTCGCCAGTTAAATATTTACTAATATTTTTCTTCTACAGCCAATATATTACACGTTTAGTTCAGCAGTGATTTTACAAGCTCAACAAAATTGACAATATATTTTCGCTTGATATGTTTTTAATATTTATAAACATAACCCATCAAAATAAAATTTCCTTGATTAAAAAAAAAATAATCTTTATATTTCACAAATATGTATATATACTACAAAGAAAAGTTTTATGGCCACGCTGAATTTCTTCAAAAGAACACCTTAAAATGTTAAATATCTGTATTTTTAAAGTAAAAGATAAACTTTCAGTAACTACAGTGTATTTGCTTTCATTTTAACAAAAAATAAGCACTTAACTATAAAAAAAAGTATTATACAACGGCTTCATAGTTTGTTTTCGTCAATAAAACCACCACCTGTCTTGATTAATGCTTTACAAATTCTTAGCATTCTTTCCAACAGTTTTTGAAAAAAGTAGATGTTAGACATCCTCAAGAATCCTTCAAACTCTGTAGAAACTCATTCTCACTCTTTGGGTATACTCTTCGAATTTTCCTCTGCAATTTATCCCATACCAATTCAATGGGAGAGAGGTTAGGATATTGAGATGGCTAAATAATAATTTCCAAAATGTTGTTCTTTTTTTGACTCGAGGTAATTTTGACATAATTTAGAAGAGTATTTTGGATCATTGTCTTGTTGAAAGATGATTTTTTTCCAGTTATGTGTAAATCAGATGCTATAGTATGTCTTTAAAAAAAAAAGAATGATATTGTACTTTTTTCACGATTCCCTTGATCTGAATCAAGCCTCCAGACATCTCTCTCTCCAAACATCCCAATACCATAACAGACCCACCACAATGCTTAACTGTTGGAATTACGCATTCATTATTGAGTCTTTTCCTGGCTTTCTTCTCACATACACTACCAAAAAGTTCAAATTTGGACTTGTCTGTCTACAATCCATTTGGTTTTTCTTTCATTGTCAAGTTCCTATGCTTTTTTGTCTATAACAGTTTTCTTTTTTATGCATGAAGAAAACAAAATAGGATGTCGTTGCATGTTAATGTTAAATAAGCTGCGAATATTAATAACATACAGGGTACAATTGGTAAATTGTTGCCATTTTATATTTAGTTTCACGCATGCGCGTTCTTTGTTTTTGATTTGCCGACTGCACAGTATAGAAGGGTCAGTTGCGCACCGTCTACGAGAAACAGAGCATCATGACATATTCACTCTGCCAGAAATTTGGAAATGGTATTCTGTACTGCTTAGCATTCGCGCCAGAAGCTACAATACTAAGATTTCAGTGTGTTTGGGTGTCACTCTGAGGACATTGCAGGGCATTTGGAAAGAGTTGGATGATATATTCAGTTAACATCATGGTGTTTGGAGTGATCACTAGTGACGTTATTACCACAGGGTCTTAAACTCAATACGAAAGCCAATAACAAGCGACTTGAGGAGGTAGTCCTGCCCTGGGACAAGAGGGCGGCTGATGGAAGACTTTCTGTCTGGCAACAGGATTCTGCACCATGCCACACAAGCAGGAAAACACAGTCATGGCTGTCAGACAATCTCTGCGACCACATCCCCCCTTATATTTGGCCACCTAACTCCCCAAACAGCAAACTCCTGTGCTGAGCGCAGTTGAGCGAAACACAAAGATGAACTGAAGGCAAGGATTTGGGCAGGATTCACCAAATTAAACAAGGTGACCATCTAGAACAGTTGCAGGAAATTCCGAAGTAGTATGGGTCTCTGGTTAAAGCCAATGGCGATTTTAGTGA